GAGGTCAGCCCGGCCTCCTGAAGAGGCCGGCCCGGCCTCCAACGTGGCCCGTGCGGGGGCCACGTGGCGAGGCCTCGGCCGGGGCAGGCACGTGGCGCCGCCCCGGGACCCGTTCTCGCTTTGCGTCATCGGGTCCGTTCGGGTCGATTCCTAATATATCCGTCATCAGTCCCCCACGCTCCGAGCTGCGAGTAATCGTCAGTGAAGGAGAGTAGATGCTCCGGTCGACCCCAAAATGCCGACCCCGAGATGTCCGCGTCCTAGCGTTATAGGTGCCGTCCCAGTGCACTTCTTGTGATAATGATGAAAAACTCCATCCGGAACATGATTCCTTCATCTGCTAGGACGCATACACAGTAGAGTCCTCTTTGGTTTTGATCATCTTCTCCAAGTCAAACCATCACATCCATCTTTTCACCTTTTCCCCCCTCTTTTTTGCTTTTTGAATTTCAAACTCCCCCTCTTCCTATCTCCCCTTCATCAATATAAACCCCCTCTCCCCTTTGATTCTACACTTTCCACCATTCCAACATCACACTCCTCCCCCAAACTCCGGCGAGCTCCCCACCGGAATCCGGCAACACTCCGGCGCGACCCAACTCCAGCCGACCCCCCAGCTGCTCCCGTCGCCGAGCCGTAGGCCCGAGCGTGGTACGCCCCTCCTTCTCTTCGCCCGTTGCTTTTTTTTTTTTTTGGACTCGGCCACGCCGTCTGTCACGGCGTGGGTGCGCCGGCGTCGCTGGCACGCCGCCGTCCGTCACGGCGCTGGTGCGCCGGAGTCGTCGCGACGCTGCCACGATCGCCCTCCTGGGCCCAGGCCGCGCCGAGGTCGGCCCACTGTGATGGGCCCGCGCCGGGCTCGGCCGACCTCGCCCGCCGAGGCCGTGCCGAACCCGGGGTCAGCCCGACCTCGGCCCTGGGCCGGGGTCCTCGATAACCTCCTCCCCCCCCCCCCTTTTTTTTATGAACTCGGCCACGCCGTCTGTCACGGCGTGGGTGCGCCGGCGTCGCGCCGGGCTCTGCCGACCTCGCCCGCCGAGGCCGTGCCGGCCCCGGGGTCGGCCCGACCTCGACCATGGCCCTGGGCCGGGGTCCTCGATAGCCGCATCTTTTTTTTTTTATGTTTCGAACACGCCCCGTGCTTATACTCCTTCTCTTTTATCTCGTAGGTTTAGTTGGTGCATGTACACTTCTTCTGGTTCCTTGGACAATTTTTTGGACTCCGTAGACACCCACATCCTTCCCATGGATGACACTAGCGACCCCCCCCCCCTCCCCCACTCCTTTTCCCGCTCATTCCCCCTCTGGGGAGGTCACCACGCCCTACGAGGGTCCGTTGGACGCCCATCCTCCCGTCATGGAGGACCCCTTCGCGGTCCCGTACGAGGATCCTGTCTAGTACACCCCTCTGGCCTCTGGAGACACTCGTCGCAGCCTCGACTTTGGCTCAGACCTCCACGCAGTAGTTTGAGGAGGCCAAGGGCTATATTGGGTCTACGGCCGAGGTGCGCCTGCCATCTCCGTCGTGGAACGTCACCGAGCCTCCGACACCCCTCTTCTTCGGGGTTCACGTGCAGTCCTTGTACCTCGGTTTTTGCTTCCCTATTCATCCCTTCGTCGAATCCTTCCTTAACCATTACGGCATCGCACCCGGGCAGTTGGTTCCGAATGCCCATTACTTACTTCTTGCCTTCTTGCTTCGCTGCCACACCATTCGTGTCAAGCCCTACATGGATCTCTTCCAGAGTTTGTTTCAAGTCACCTCGTCTTCCGACCAGGCCAGTAAGGGGTTCGTGGGTATAATGGTCCGTGCGTGTATGAAGACGTTCCATGACTTCAATCAGACCAACAGAGATTGGAAACCACACTTTGCCTTCATCTCGGTCGGCAATCCTCGCCCGTTCCTAGCTTGGAACAACAGGTTTGTGCGCCACAGGGCCCCGTTTCAGACGGCCTCCTTAGCCCGGGACATCCACGCCTTCCGGGGCAATCGGGGAGAAATTGTTATCGGCGAGATGATTACGGCGGAGAACATGCGTAGCCTGGGTTTTGTGTCGGATGGGCCGCAACCGCCACGTATTCGTCCGCGCCTTTTGCGTACGTCCAAGTCAGATGCGCGTCCCTTGATCGACTTTTCAGATGATGAGCCACCAGAGCAGTCCTCGGGATCCTCGGACGAGGTTTTTACCAAGCCCAGGTCCTCCGGGTCCGCTGTCGGCCCTTCGCGTGCCTCTACTCGTGATCTGTTCCCCCTCCTTCGCTGGACCATCGTTTATATATATGACTTATGGATTAACCCCTGTTCGTTTCATTTTGCAGCGAGGCCTCCCAGCATATCCTCGTTCCGTGAGCGCCTCGAGCGCGTGGTAGCGCGTGGCCTCGTTGCGAAGAGACAGAAGGTTACTGCGCAGCCTGGCGCGCCTCCGTCTGAGCCCGGTGCGCCCCCGCCGGGAGGGGTGCGACCGCAGGTGAGTCGCCCCCCCCCCCCCCCCCCCCCCCCCCCCTCCCCCCCCCCCCCCCCGTACCGCCGGCCATTCCGCCCCCGCTGCCGCCTGCCGAGCGCACGACGCGGAGCTTGCCCGCTATTATTCGAGAGGCCCTCCGGACCTTCGAGGTATGTATTCTTACTTGTGATTTCCTTTGTTGCACTTACTCCTTATTGTTGTCTTGTTATGATTGTGCCTCTTCCCAGGGTTGGGTCGTGTCCACCGTGGCCCTTGTTGAGGATGAGCAAGGTCGCGCTAGCGAGCTGGTTCGAGCCTTGGAAGCCGAGACCAGGCGGGTAGATGAGGCGATCAGACGTGATGCTGAGTCCCGGAAGGCCTTGGAGGCGGAGAGGAAGAGGCACGCAGAGGAGCTTGGACAGGTCATCCCTGCCTACAGGAAGTCTGATGAGTTCGAGCGGGATGCCGAGGAGTACGTTCGTGGGCGCAGTGGTGACATAGTCGCCTCGTGGCTAGCCAGTGACGCTGGGAAGGAGACGATTGCGGAGGAGAGTGCTATGGCCTTCCAGGTGGGCCGGTATGCTATGCAGCAGGAGATCTACACCGCCCTTCGTCAGAAGGGAGACGCCTTCGACCCGGTAGTCCTCGAGTTGCCGGCCGAGATGGAGAACCCCGAGCCAGTAAATCCTGTGGCGGGCTTCTCACTATCACCCCTTGATTGCGCCGATGAGCCTGTGGAGCTGGTGGCCTCCTCGGGGGTTATCTCACCTACTTTGCTGAGCGTTCACGTCCCGGACTTGGATGAGGGGGCCGAGGGAGTGACCGTCGTCGTTGCGCCGTCGGCTGAGCTGCCACTTGCCATCGCGCCGGGTTTGGATGAGCAGCCTTGATCGTGCTCGTTTTAGCTTATTTCCCTATTTTGTGTATCCGGGCATAGACTTTGGATGTGGATTCTTGCCCTCTTTTGCTGTTTATTTTCCTTGACGACACTTCCTGTTTTATCTTGCTATGTTATGAATGTTGGACCCTTCTCTGCGTTTTATTATATGCTTGGAACTTGTGCTTGATTATGTATTCCTGTTGTCAAGACCACGTTGGTTTTTTTTTTTTTTGTGAGTGCCCGACCAGTGCTGGGGTACTAGACCTCGGTACTAGCCGAATTGTGCCGAGGTACTAGACCTCGGTGCCGGCCGAGGTGCATGCAGCACGGTGTACCCCGGCAGTACAGCCGAGGTGCATGCAGCATGGTGCACCCCGGCAGTGTGCCGAGGTGCTGCCGGGGTGTGATAGGCCTATTATATTTTTTATTTTTCTTTATTTTTTATTTTAGTTTTTTTTTGTGTTAGCCTCCAAAACATAGTCCTATGAGACTACGTCATCGGGCTTCCCGTCGGGGTTGGTACGCGAGGTCGGACCTCGTGTCCCCTTAGGGTGCGTCAGCCGCTCGGGCTAATTCCTTCCGAACTACGCCACCGGGCTCTTCCGTCGAGGTTGGTACGCGAGGTCGGACCTCGTGCCCCCTTAGGGCGCGCCTAACCGCTTGGGCCTAGTCCTGTCGGACTAAGCCACAGGGCTCCTCCGTCGGGGTTTGTACGCGAGGTTAGGCCTCGTGCCCCCTTAGGGTGCGCGTTAGCCGCTCGGGCCAAGTCCTTTCGGACTGTGCCCCCGGGCTCTTCCGTCGGGGCTAGTACTCGAGGTCAGCCCTCGGGCCCCCTTAGGGTGCGTCCTCCGTCGGGGTTAGTACGTGAGGTCGGACCTCGTGCCCCCTTAGGGTCCGCGGGGGAAGACATGAGTGAGCACTCGTTCCCCTTTGTTTCATGATTTTTTTTTTAAGGAGAAAGAATGGATGAGAACCAATTTTGTGATATTATTGTCGTTCACTAAGACATTATTGGGGGAGGGGAATGGTCTTCCTCCTGAAATAGCATTTCAAAGTCCACCTTTCACGTGGCGGGTCTACTGGTAGAACTTCAGCAGGTGTTCCGAGTTCTAGACCCTGGCTATCATCTTCCCTTTGGGGGTCTTGAGCTTGTAACTACCCGGGCGGACCACAGCTGCTACAATGTATGGGCCTTCCCAGTTGGCAGCAAACTTTCCTCCCGCCTGGGGCTAGCTTGCCTCCCGTCTCCTGAGCACGTAGTCTCCCGCTTGAAAGTAGCGGGGTCGGACCCGCCTGTCATGGTATGCTTTGGTCTGCCTCTGGTAGTTTTTGGCTCGGATCGCCGCTGCCTCGCGCCTGTCATCGATCAGGTGGAGGCCAGTTCTATGGTGTTCCTCATTCGTGTCGGGGTCGTAGTCCTCCTCCCGGCGGGAAGGTATGACCACTTCTGCTGGGGCTCGTGCTTCGAACCCGTAGGCCAAGGAGAAAGGTGTCTCCCCGGTGGCCCTCCGAGGGGTGGTGCGGTAGGCCCACAAAATGGCGTCGAGCTCCTCTACCCACGCCCCCCCTGCGGATTCCAATTTCTTTTTCAGGCCGCCCACTATGGTGCGGTTGGCATTCTCCACCTGCCCATTTGCTTGGGGTTAGCACACGGCCACCCGGCTGTGAATAATGTATCATTTTGCACAGAACCCCTTGAACTCTTGCCCCTCGAATTGGCGTCCGTTGTCGGTGATGAGTTGCATCGGGACCCTAAAACGGCACAAAATGTTTTTGTACACAAAGTGCTTGCAACGGGCGCTTGTTATGGTTGCCAGTGGTTCCGCCTCCACCCACTTGGTAAAGTAGTCCACTGCAACTATGAGGTACTTCCTTTTTCCCGACCCCATAGGTAGAGCTCCCACTAGGTCCACTCCCCACCTAGAGAAGGGGATGACCGAGCTGATGGGGGTGTAGCTCGTGGCGGATCGGCCGGGGGTGACCTGGAAGTGCTGGCAGGTCTCGCAACTCTGGGTGTAGTCGGCGCACTCCTTGGCCATTTTGGGCCAAAAGTACCCTTGTAAGATAGCCCTCCGGGACATGGCGAAGGCCCCTTGGTGGGCGGAGCAGGTTCCCTCGTGGATTTCCTCCATGACCGCCCTGGCCTCGTCTAGGTACAGGCAGCGCAGCAAGGCGCCATTGTAGGACCTCTTGTAAAGTGTGTCCCCTATGATCACGTACGTAGGGGCTCGTCGTTTCACCAGCTTGGCGTCGACCTCGTCGGGAGGTAGCGCACCTGTTTTCTTGTACTCCTTGAGATGGTCTAACCAGCAGGGAGGTCGGGCTTGCACAGGTAGGACCGGGTAAGCGTCCAGGCTCGACCTCTTGAAATCTTCGATCCGCGCTATTTTTGAGATATGTTCCGGGGCCCCTTGGGCGAGCTTGGATAACATGTCAGCGTCTGTGTTCTGGTCCCGAGGCACCTGTAGGACCTCGTAATTGATCAGCTGCCCCAGTAGTTGGAGCACCACGTCCCGGTACCTTCTCATTCTTTCATCACTTGCCTCGAATTCACCTGTGACCTGTCCCACGACGAGCCTGGAGTCACACCGGATTTTGAGCTTTTCCACCCTCATATTTAGCGCGAGGCGGAGCCCCCCTTGGAGCGCCTCATACTCGGTTTCGTTGTTGGATAACTTGAACGCGAAGCGGAGGGCGTAGTAGGCCCGGAACCCCTCCGGGGTTATGAGTACGACTCCACCCCCGCAGCTTTTGGCGCTGGAGGACCCGTCCGTTGAGAGGGTCCAGCACTCCTCGTCTTCATCCCAGACCCGCTCCGTGGCCTCCCGGGCGATACACTCGACTATGAAGTCAGCCAGTGCCTGTCCCTTGATGGCGGGTCTGGGTTTGAATTGGATGTCGAACTGGCTCAGCCGCATGGCCCACCTGACCAACCTGCTGGCCGACCCCGAGGCCCTCAGCACCGCGTCTAGTGACTGGTTTGTGAGGACCTGTACGGGGTGGGCCTGGAAGTAGTGGTTCAGCTTCTTTGTCGTCGCATCTACCGCAAAGATGGCCTTCTCCACGGGTGTGTACCTGATCTCCGCCCCCCGTAGAGCTCGGCTCGTGTAGTATACGGGCCGCTGGACCCCCTCGTCGTCCCGGACCAGCACGGAGCTGACCGCGGTCTGCGAGATGCCCAGGTATAGGTACAGGACCTCCCCCTTAACGGGTTTGGCCAGGGGGGGGGGGGGGGGGGGGGGAGTGACATCAGGTACGTCTTGAGGTCCTCGAACGCCCTCTGGCACTCTTCGGACCACTCGAAGCCCTTCGTCTTTTTGAGGACTCCAAAGAACGGCAACGATTTCTCGGCCGACCTCGAAAGGAAACAACCCAGGGCTGCCAACCGCCCGTTGAGGCGCTGGACCTCCCGGAGGGATCTCGGAGGTTCCATGTCCAGGATGGACTTGACCTTGTCGGGGTTGGGTTCAATGCCCCTCTTCGAGACCATGTACCCCAAAAATTTCCCCCCGTGTACCCCGAAGGTACACTTCTTGGGGTTCAACCGTAAATTGAAGCGTTGCATAATCGAAAATACCTCGGTAAGGTCGTCTGTGTGGAGGTCGGCGTCGGTGCTCTTGACGATCATGTCATCGACGTAGGCCTGGAGGTTGCGGCCGAGGACCTGCTTGAACACTTTGGCCACCATTCGGGTGTAGGTAGCACCTGAATTTTTCAGTCCGAAAGCCATGACCTTGTAGCAATAGACCCCCTCTGGCGTGGTGAAGGCTGTTTTCTCCTCGTCGGCCTCTTCCATGAAAATTTGGTGGTACCCCCTGAACGCATCTAGGAAGCTCATAAGGGCACAACCCGCCATCTCGTCCACCAGCTGGTAAATGTTGGGGAGGGGGAAGGGGTCCATAGGGCAGGCCTTGTTGAGGTCGGTGTAGTCCATGCACATCCTCCAGGTGGGTGGCTTTGGGGCGAGGACTACGTTGGCTAGCCACGTGGGGTATATGACCTCCCTGACATGGTCGATCTCTAGCAGGGTGTCGACCTCCTTTTTGACGAACACCCTCCTCTCGGCGGAGAGATACCTTTTGCGCTGCTGGACTGGTTTGACCGTGGGGTCGACAGCCAGCTTGTGCGTGATCAAGTCTCGGTTCAGGCCCGGCATATCCTCGGGGCCCCATGCGAAGACCTCCTTGTACCTCCTGATGGTGTCGATAATTCGTGCCCGTAGGTCGGCCGGGAGGCCGACCCCTACCTTCACGACCCGGTCGGGTCGGCTGAGGTCGAGGATGACCTCCTCTGTCTAGACCACGGGCTCGGCCCGAGGTCGACCTACTTGGCAATGGTATGGACCTGGAGGTCCTTCTGACCAATTTGGCGGCACGCCCTCAAGTAGCAGCTGCGGCTCACCTTTTGGTCCCCCCGGGCGACCCCAACCCCAGTTGGTGTCGGGAACTTGAGGCACAGGTGCTCCATAGAAATCACGCATCTGAGGTCCTCTAGGTCGGCAATTTGCTTCTTCCGCTGTATGCTGGTGGCGAAATAGGATAGGAACTGCTGGGTGAGGTCCGCGAAGGTGGAGATGGTTCCCGCCGGGAGGGATCCGAACCAATCATGCGACTGCCCGTCCAGGGTGGCGAAGAACCCCCTACACAGGATGGCGTCTGTTGCCTCGGTGATCATCATGGCGGCTCTGTACCTGGTCAGGTGTGCCCGCGGGTCCGTGGTCCCCGAGTATGCTTTAATGGTGGGAAAGCGAAAATCTCGAGGTAGGGGTTCCGCCATGATGGTGTCTGCGAATGGGGAGGCCAATACGTCCTGGGGCTCTGGAGACCCGTCCCTCTCATCGATCTTCTTCTAGAGCTCGTCCATCATTCTCTGCAGCTGCTCGACCTCTGCCCGATGGGAGCTTGGAGCTCTACCCTTCGTTTCACCTGATCGTTCAACCCAGGAGGCCTGCTCACGTCGCGGGTGGGGTCGGGGGACCCGACCTGCTGACCCGCGCGAGGCTGCCTCGTGTCGCGGCTGGGCGCGGGGCCCATGGCTCGGCGACCTCCGAGTGACCGATCCCTGTCGCGGCGGCCGGCGGGAGCATGACTCCGCCGCCGGTGGCCCGTTGGCTGGCCTCGGACCCAACCTATCCCGGGCTGTCACGCGGTCGCCCAACCTCTCCAGGGCGGGCCTGGTTTGGGTTGGTGCCCTTCCATCGTCGTCACACTGGCGGTCTCGGCGGGAGTCCCCTCCTCCCCGCCTCTCCGATGGTCGAGGCGAGTTGACCTCCCCCTGGGTGACAGGTGCCTGGGGCGGTCGGGTGCTTGGGCCGCTGCGCCCCCGGGTGGGAGGTGGTGGAGGCGACGCCGGCGCCCCTCCGATGGCGCCTAGGGCGGCTTGTTCCTCTGCCCGGAGGCCCGCCGCGACGCGCGCCAGCGCGGTGGAAGCTTCCTCGAAGACCGCCACCCCCTCCCGGATGAGTGCGCGAGCCGGAGCGGGGGCGACGGGGGGTGGTGGCGGCGCACCGCTGCTGCGGTGGTTGGTGAGCTGGGCCCTCAGATCCTCTCCCGACCTGGTGGAGGCGGCTGGTTGGATGCTGGGGGTGGGGGCCCCGTTGGGGCTGTTCCCGTTCGCGACGAGCTGGGTGCCGCGGGAACCATTGGTATGACGAGAGCTGTATCTCGATCGTGCCATCGCTGTGGATGAACAATAGTGGGGAGAGCGCTTAAGCTTGTACAGCAGCTCTCAACTAGAGCACCAATGATGGAATTAATTAAACCGGGGGTCCGACTTAACTAACCCGAATAAGAATACAGATAATAAACAAGTAATACGAACGTTATAGCAAAGGCCGTGAGACCGTGGATTATATTAAATGCCGTAGAATTGGCTATTACAATGATATTTCAGGACAAAGTATGTCAGTAAAGTAGATCGTGTCTTAACGAGACAAGGTGGGGTGTTTTTATACAACCCCCACCCCTAACCGCCACCCCCTAAGGCGGGGGGTGGTTAGATCCGGGTTGACCGCGCGGGCCGCGCTGCGGGAGCCAAGCCGAGCCCGTCATGGGCTCGGGCCGAGCCCATGTGGAGGTCGGCCCGGCCTCCAACGTGACCCGTGCTGGGGCCACGTGGCGAGGCCTCGTCCGGGGCGGGTACGTGGCGCCGCCCCGGGACCCGTTCTTGCTTTGCGTCCTCGGGTCAGTTCGGGTCGATTCCTAATATATCCGTCAGGCATCTTCTAAACAAGGAATCTTGTGCTGCCGAGATAGATCAGATCCTGTCATTATTATGTTTGTAAACCAAGCAGTAGGCAATGTGTTGAGCTGCCTACCCCAAGGGGACGAGACATATTCCCAAACTGGTTTGGTTCGACAATTCTAAAATCTAAATCCCATTCAGTACAAAATAATTAGATTGTCAAGGTGATTTTTTATAAATTCTTTACCATCTTATTACGCTATATATTCAATACGAATTTTTATTATGTGTCTTGAGCAGTGTTGCAAAAATCGCGCCTAGGCGCTACACGCAAGGAGGCTGCCGCGAGGAATGGCCTCGGCGGCCTCCTCCGCGGCCGGCCAGCTAGGCGGCCGCCTAGACCGCCTAACCGGCCAGTTCGGCGATTTTTTTTTTTTTTTTTTTGAAAATGTCGGTAAAGTTTCGGAAGGCATAACTTTTGACTCGGTTGTCCGATTTGGACAATTTTTTTTTCAAATCGCGTATTTTTTCGAGATCTATACATCGCAAATCGCCAATGGCGGTTTGGTCCACTAATTTCTCAAAAAAATGCTTCTTTAGCTCTTAATTTTAGTTTTTTATGTATTTTGATGGTTTAAATAATCTTTTGAACAATTTTACAACCACTTTTGTAAATAGTTTCTAAGAAATAACTATGAAAACCTTATGTTTTAGTACTAAATTTTGAAAATTTTTAATTTTAAAATTTTTTTAATTAAAAAAATAAAATAAAAAATTAAAAAAAAAACATTTAAAAATAAAAAATAAAAAATCGGCGCCTAGGTGCCCCCTTGGCGCCTAACGTTTTTTGCAACATTGGTCTTGAGATATAATTCTAATAAGGCTAAATTAAAGATTTGATAATTTTATCATTTTCATTTAGGCCATGCGGAAAAACAAGTTACATATGCCAAATTTTTTATTCAAAATTTTGGACATGGTGACAATCGAAAAAAAAATCATAATCGAAGGCTGAAATAGTTTTTCCTTTCAACCCAGTGTTTGAATAGGTTGCATAGTCTATTTGTTGTCGGGTCGCAACACAGTTTTGACTTTTGACTTTGCAAGCGAAACTCACTCAAAGTTTCCAGGACTATTAACGGCAACCGAAGACGACATAAGCTACTACTGTGAACCAATCATTGACTACAATTGGAAAGCTAGGATTTACATCCGTGTACAAATGGGATGAAGTGTATCTTTGGGGGCTAGAAGCCTACAGGTGGGAGATAAAGAGAGTAGTGAGAATTGATAAGGAAAAGAATAGGTTGATAGGGTGTAGTCTTGCGGACACGGCACTGATGATTGGGTATAGTTATCAAGTGAGCGATTCCGATTCCCATTAGAATATTTTCCCGTCCAATTCAGATTGGGAGCCGGTGGATTTGGAGGATGGATGCATGCTGCCTGCTGGGTGGGTTGGAAGAGATGTTCACTTGGCAAGGTTGCTCGAGATAATTCCTCTTTGCTCGAGATAATTCCTCTTGATAAATTCCATGCACAAAACTGTTTTATGTCATGGCTAGTGAACATCTCTTTCGACCCACCCAGCACGCATCCATCCTCCAGATCCACCGGCTCCCAATCTGACCTGAACGGGAAAATATTCTAATGGGAATCGAAACCGCTCACTTGATAACTATACCCCATCATCAGCGCCATGTCTGCAAGATTGCACCTTATCAACCCATTCTTCTCCTTATGAATTCCCACTACTCTGTTTAATTTATCTCTCACCCGTAATCTTCTAGCCCCCAAAGATGCACTTCATCACATTTGTACACGGATGAAAATCCTAGCTTTCGATTCTACTCAACGATTTCTTCACAGTAGTAGCTTCTATCATCTTCGGTTGACATTATTGGTCTTGGAAACATTGAGTGAGTTTCGGTTGCAAAGTCGAAAGCCAAAAATGTGTTGGGCCCCGTCAGCAAATAGACTATGCCGCCTATACAAACACTTGGTTGAAAGGAAAAACTACTGCAACCTTCCATTATGATGTTTTTCGATTATCTTCATGTCCAAAATTTTGAATCGAAAATCTAGCATATGTAACTTATTTTTCTAAATGGCCAGAATGAAAATGATAAAATTATCAAATCATTAGTTTAGCCTTATTAGAATTATATCTCAAGGCACATAATAAAAAATTGTATTTAATTTATAGTGTAATAAGATTGTAAATAAAAAGAAAAAGAAAAACTCTCCTTGACAATCTAATTATTTTGTACCGATGGGGATTAGATTTAAGAATTGTCATACCAAACCAGTTTGGGAATATGCCTCGTTCCCTTGGGGTAGGCTACTCAACACATTGCCTAGTGCTTGGCTTACAAACATAATAATGACGGGGATCTGATCTATCTCGGCAGTACAAGATTCCTTGTTTAGAAGATGCCAAAGTTGTCATTCCGCATAAACACTCCATAGAAATACCTGGAACCCCCAAGGATGGATTGATGGATACAAATGTGTAAGAAGTACAGCTAAGGGGTTCAAGTTTTTCAACAATATACCTTATGAAATTCTTTGTTTTTTTAGTGTAATTTTTAATGAACCACGATTCCTCAACAACCTCTGAGCTTCCGTATCAAGAACTATGGCTGGAGGTTAGTCGATCCTATTATCACATATTATATGTTGCATGTGATATTTTAGTCTAACATTTGACTCCTTGCTAACCACTTTGAATGTATTTAGTGTTTCTAACGTTGCTTGACTCAAAATTTTGAAAAGAATTTCTTGATTGAGATGATACTCAAAATTCATTGAGACACAAAAGTAGTTTTTGGTGATAAAAGGAGTGTTGTTGATGTATCAAATTAAGAACATGACAGGAATTTGAGGTTATGATGTTAGGGTAGGAAGATAGGAAAATGAATTGCAATTTCAATGAGAATAAAAGTTGCCCCGCCGTGTAAGAAGTTGATGTGA